GTAGAGGTACATGTAACCTTAAAGTGGACATATGTTATAACAAAATAAAAGTGGTGGAAAATAGGTTAAAGTTACCCTAACCATTTCCATACTGCGTACGCTGAAAAATCCAGTCAATTTTCGACAGATAATAAAATTATGTTCCTTATCAATTCTCAAACTTTTTATTGCTGAAATTAGTATAGGTTCATGTAACCTAAAAGTGTACATATGTTATAACAAAATAAAAGTGGTGGAAAATAGGTTAAAGTTACCCTAATCATTTATATACCGCTCACTCTGGAAAAACGAGAAAACTTTCGACGGATAATAAAATTATGTTCCTGATCAATTCCCAAACTTTTTATTGCTGAAATTAGTTGAGGTACATGTAACCTAAAAGTGTACATATGTTAATACAAAATTAAAGTGGTGGAAAATAGGTTAAAGTTACCCTAACCATTTCCATACCGCGTACGCTGAAAAATCCAGTCAACTTTCGACGGATAATAAAATTATGTTCCTTATCAATTCCCAAACTTTTTATTGCTGAAATTAGTTGAAGTACATGTAACCTAAAAGTGTACATATGTTATAACAAAATAAAAGTGGTGGAAAATAGGTTAAAGTTCCCCTAACCATTTACTTACCATTCAATCTGTAGAACTCACTCAACTTTCGACGGATAATAAAATTATGTTCCTTATCAATTCCCAAACTTTTTATTGCTGAAATTAGTAGAGGTACATGTAACCTTAAAGTGGACATATGTTAAAAGAAAATAAAAGTGGTGGAAAATAGGTTAAAGTTACCCTAACCATTTCCATACTGCGTACGCGTTATGGAAATGATTAGGTGAACTTTAACCTATTTTCCACCACTTTTATTTTCTTTTAACATATGTCCACTTTAAGGTTACATGTACCTCTAGTAATTTCAGCAATAAAAAGTTTGGAAATTGATATGGAACATAATTTTATTATCCGTCGAAAGTTTTCTCGTTTTTCCAGAGTGAGCGGTATATAAATGATTAGGGTAACTTCAACCTATTTTCCACCACTTTTATTTTGTTATAACATATGTACACTTTTAGATTACATGTAACTCAACTAATTTCAGCAATAAAAAGTTTGGGAATTGATATGTAACATAATTTTATTATCCGTCGAAAGTTTTCTCCTTTTTCCAGAGTGAGCGGTATATAAATGATTAGGGTAACTTTAACCTATTTTCCACCACTTTTATTTTGTTATAACATATGTACACTTTTAGGTAACATGTACCTATACTAATTTCAGCAATAAAAAGTTTGGGAATTGATAAGGAACATAATTTTATTATCTGTCGAAAATTGACTGGATTTTTCAGCGTACGCAGTATGGAAATGGTTAGGGTAACTTTAACCTATTTTCCACCACTTTTATTTTCTTTTAACATATGTCCACTTTAAGGTTACATGTACCTCTACTAATTTCAGCAATAAAAAGTTTGGGAATTGATAAGGAACATAATTTTATTATCCGTCGAAAGTTGAGTGAGTTCTACAGATTGAATGGTACGAAAAATGGTTAGGGGAACTTTAACCTATTTTCCACCACTTTTATTTTGTTATAACATATGTACACTTTTAGGTTACATGTACCTTAACTAATTTCAGCAATAAAAAGTTTGGGAATTGATAAGGAACATAATTTTATTATCCGTCGAAAGTTGACTAGATTTTTCAGCGTACGCGGTATGGAAATGTTTAGGGTAACTTTAACCTATTTTCCACCACTTTTATTTTGTTATAACATGTGTACACTTTTAGATTACATGTAACCCAACTAATTTCAGCAATAAAAAGTTTGGGAATTGGTAAGGAACATAATTTTATAACCCGTCGAAAGTTGACTGGATTTTTCAGCGTACGCGGTATGGAAATGGTTAGGAGAACTTTAACCTATTTTCCACCACTTTTATTGTCTTATCACATATGTCCACCTTAAGGTTACATGTACCTCAACTAATTTCAGCAATAAAAAGTTTGGGAATTGTTAAGGAACATAATTCTATTACCCGTCGAAGGTTGGCTGGGTTTTTCAGCATAAGCGGTATGGAAGAGATTAGGGGAACTTTGACCTATTTTCCACCACTTTTTATTTTGTTATAACATATGTACACTTTTAGGTTACAATTTACATTGTTAAGTTTACATATATACCTACCTCTATATGTATATAATTAATGTATATAATTAATATAATTATATAATTATATAATGTATATAATTAATATACATCTATAGATGTATATTAATTATAATATATAATAATATAGTGTATATTGACATTTTGAAATAAAAAATTTATTTATACTGAGTTTTTATAGTTACTTTTATATACAGTAGCTTTAGGTAGGAACGAGTCTATACATTATTTAGGTAATATATGTATATTGCGATAAAAGTAAATAACTATATAATTTTCCACTAGTATACTTTGTCGTAATACATATATTATTTAAGTATATTCACTACTTAATAAATAAGTATAGCGAATTAGTTTTGGTTTGGAAATCTGTAAATTATCCGTAGGTAGTAGGTAGTTGCATATGCGAGGTCTTTTTTTTAACATCGACTGTACTACTCTAAGCTAGGCGGTATCTAATTGGTCGAGAGGGAGAAGAGGGGAAGTCGTTGTGGGAGGGGAAAAAATGTAGGGTCGACAGCTGGCGATAGCTGTCTTCACGGTAGTCTGCAATCTTCTTTTCTTTTCTTGGCCAGCTCAGCTGTCACACAAAAACAGCTGTTCTAGAATCTAGAAAGCAGGGGAGCATCACATAAGTTTATTGTAGAGTTTGGAGGACCCATAGCTTCGAAAACGATAGCTCCGATCCGAATCACTCATATCTCCGAATCGCTAAATAGATAAAACCATATTATAAAACATTCCCTTTAGTAGATTTCTCCTCCTCATGGAAGATGGAACAGCTGAAGTAAATTTTATTGATAGTTCTGTCCGGTACACTGTTTAGGTCGTGTTTTGAACCATCAGCGACAGTAATATGTGTACCTATTGTACAAAAGTGTTTAAGAATATTTATTTGTTTATATTTATTTCTTATTTCAATTTGTTTCATGTTACTTCAGTCATTTTAAACCTGTGTGATCAGAAATGGTTAACCAAATAAAACGATTTAATCCTAAAAAAATATCCTTAATTTAAAAGATTTAAAAAAGGTAAAAAAGTTTTTTTTATGTTATGTAAAATTAACATAAAGAAAATTGAAATCGGGGCATTAATAACAAAATGGCAGTTCAAAATTACTTTTAATGACAATTGTCTCAATCATTTTTAGCTGCCATATTGTTATTAATGGTCCGATTTCTATTTTCTTTATGTTAACTGTTATGTTTCGCCAAGACCTGTAAAATGATACCAAACTCGACTATACTTGCTAATTGCTCGCTGGTTTTTTTCATTATTTTTTATTAATGAATAAGGGCAAAATTTCTCAAATACCTAGTTTAAAAGTAAAAGGGGGTGCAAGTTAATTTTCAGCCACCCTCATGGTTATTTGGATTTGAAACATTTTAGGGCGCCATTTTGTTATTAATGGGCCTATTTTGGGGTTTTGTCAATTTTTATGTTTCCTCAAGACCTGTAAAATGATACCAAACTCGACTATACATTTGACAATTTTGAGCTACCCCCTACCCCACACTACCCCACCGGTGGGGCACACGGAAGATTTCTCAGGTGCCGTTTGACGTCACTAACTGCTGACGTCACTAACTGCTGCGTCTGAACAGACGCGTCAGAAACAGACAATTTTATAATAATTTTTCTATTATTAAATTAAACTGTCATAACATAACTAAACTAACCAAACGTGCTGATAATGGAAAAATCAAATGAAGGTTTACTCATCTAAAAAATAGTTTTGTTCATAAAATAAAATTATAAATGCCTAAAATTCAACTTTATAATTTTTTAATTATAAAATTAAACTGTCATAACCTAACCAAACCAACCAAACTTGCTGATATGAAAAAAATTGTTGACAAAAAGTTAGTGCTACCAGAGGGGTTCGAACACTGTAGATTCGGATTATCAGCCCGCCACACTACCCACTACACCACCGAGGCCGATGTCTCAACACCGTATCGTTGCGGTATTGGTGTTCCCTCAAAGTGACGTCAGCAGTTAGTGACGTCAAACGGTACCTGAGAAATCTTCCGTGTGCCGTTTCGCACTACCACACAATATTATTTATTGTAGTGTCAGCTGATATGTTTCAATTAGGTAATTCTTTAATACCGATATATGGCATTGTGGAAGGAATGTGCTATTCCCGTCATATGCTGACGTCACTCAGATTCCAAACAACATTTTACCATTTAGAAAAATTATAAAAACAATAACAATCAAATCAAAACAAATATATACCTATATGGCAATACATCAGCAGATTTTTTTGTTTGCATTCTGGGTTACGGCAAATGACGGGAATAGCACACCTATGTATTTTTCTTCCACCATGGATATATGGGTTTGAAATATAAAATATCTATATATCGAGAAAAATAATTGATAATAATGGATGTTCCCTTTAATAGAAAAGTACCATAATGTACTGCATTAGTTTAGTTTCGAAAATAGAATTATTCGCCTAGCTCCGAATATCTTTCAAAATATCACACAGCTCCGAAGGAATGTTGAAAGATTCGTTTAGTTACAAAAGAAGCAAAAAATACCACATTGGCATCAAACCTGCAGACTAATGAAATTTTCACTAATTTGTCTCATTGGACTTAAAAAAATATATATCCCCTATTTAAATTATATTAGTCTAAAGAGTACTGATGTTTGCTTCTACAGGAAAGGTAATAAAGTGTTTTTAGTTAAAGTTTGACAATCAGTGTTTTAATATGATTTGAATTTTACTGTCAAAGGAAAGCTTAACATGAAAGTGTGAAACATTTTGATGAATCACTCTGTATTTTACATAAAAAAGAATTTTTTTTTAGTCATAAGAAACACACAAAAACAATTATTATAAGTACAGATTGTCTACTTTATTGTGTTTATACATTTGTATTATTAAAGGATTTTTAAAGGGCACCATGCTTTCTCTTGAGTATTCTTCTTCAAACATTTTCATACAGTCTTCAATTGTTGGTTGGGCTTCAAAATCTGGAACATTAAAATATGCATCTTTTTGACATTTAATTGAGCGGAGCGAGCGAAGCGAGCGAAGCGAGCGAAGCTCTTTGGGATCAACTTCAATGCGAACAATATAACACCATCACTCAATAACGGCTGAACACATTTCAGCCAAACTTAACAAGACTACTTAGACTAATACTGAGATGGTTTGTAAACAAACAAATTTCAATTAGATAATGCTAATGCAATTTAAAACGAACTTAAAATTTCAAATTTTTAACATTAGGCTTATGGGACTAAAGTAGCTATGACAGTTTTTTTGTTTACAAGAAAAATGTAAACAAGAGAATCATAAGGTATTTCTGAACTTTCTATACTTTTCTTTTAAACGTTTTTAAACCATTCCTATGATTTTAATAAACAAGAAAATGCCGTTAAAACATTTTTTTAAGGCGCGGAATTCACTGAAAATCGAGAAAATATACGGAACTACTTTCTCAATGCGCGGAGCATAAACTAGGAGCGGAGGGATACGTACCGGTGACTACTTTCTTGGGAACCTATTTTGTTGCCAGCTGATTAGAAACAGCCAATGTTAGAAATCAGGATTTAATAAGCGATATATCGAACCGCATCGAAATCGGGATTTAATCCGATAATACCTCATAGGTTATATTATGTTGAATTACATCGACGGTACAGTAAGTTATTACACTTATATAAAACGCAGATTGAACACTGATCTAATTTAGGCATGTGGGGAGGTAGGTCGGGGTTTATGAGTTTTCGTGACTACATTAAGTGTTTAGAAGTAAGGTTAGATTAGGAAGGTAAAGTGTATGTTAGGCCTATAGGTAGGTGATCGGGTTGTTTATTTGTGTTGCACCATATAATTTTTAACTTTTGGAATGGAATAGTTGGTTAAGGTAAAACGGGGAAACGATTTCAAAAATGCTTGCATATGGTCTTAACCTTAACTTAACAAACCATCTACAGTATTCTAGCTTTGACTTTATATAAAGTCAATGATTCTAGCAAATTATTACATACTGACCAAAAGAAAAGAGAACATTTGGATTTGGACCTTTGACCATAGCAAAACTAACACGTATACAAATATCAAATCACGTTTGTTCCGCTCAACTGGCTTTCACCTCTCTGAAAGCAACCCTAGTTTAATTTTGAAATTCAATAAGCATTAGAAGTAACTATGAGACCTGAATATTTTTCGATGGGCTTACTGAAGTGAAAACAGATGTTTTCCTACGGTCGCCCGACATAGTTGGCTTCCTAGTACTGTTTATAGTACAGAAAGCTGCTAATTGCTGCATATTTATACTTTGCCGTACGGTTTATACTTTGTCGTACGGTTTATACTTTGCCGCACATCAGGATTCCAACGAAACAACACAAAACAGCGTGGTTCTATTATGCATGTAATCCGTGTACGCTTGGAAATAGGTTGGCAACACTTAAAGATAATAATACTATGAACAGCTGATTGACTATTATAACTACGATTTAACCTGTCATTTCGTGTTTATAGTTTCGGTATTTCTGAACTTTGTGGACTTTTCTTTTAAACGTTTTTAAAACATTCCTACGATCTTAATAAACAAGAAAATACCTTTAAAGCATTTTTTAGGCGCGGAAACCCCTTCAAATTACAAAAACATACGGAACTATATTCTCAAAACGCGGAGCACATTTCTCGCCGAGGAAAAATAGCGGAGTGATACGGACCGCGGGTACTACTTTCTCTAGGGCACCATTTGTGTTGCCAGCTGAACCTAAAGACGTGTTGTATAGTGTTTGAAAGACTAATTATTTATATGCTTTATAGTGACTGTAGGAAAAATATAATGTGTAACACGAGTGAAAAAGGCCTTTGCTGCACTCGAGATCATTCCGCACGAGCCGTATTGCTCTCGTGTGCAGCAAAGTGCCACTTTCACCACTAGTTACACAAATAACTATTTCAATACAGTCATGTGTTCAAATAAAAATGTAGCATTCTGAGCACAGGTGCATGACTAACATCCTTGCTTGCAGACCCTATCTTTCAGAAAACCAGGGGTCCAACCACGAAACTCATTTTTGAACCCTTTAGGATTATATTCATAGCCTCCTCTTACACTAGACAATGTGGCGACGTTGCACTTTATATGTTGCACTTAATATGTATTCTTGTTTGTTCCAGCTACCTGTGTGATAGCAGAGGTTCCATGCGTCCATGGCACATAAGTTGTCAAAGAGTTTCGCTCCTTGCCGTCTGTCAAAGCCACACACCACCATCTTGGGCTTGTCACAATTGTCGATGCAAGGGACTCTACCCAATGCTGTCCCTTAAAGAAATTCACATTGAACTTAATTAGAATTAAATTATTATTTTTGACTATTAAGCCAAAAACACACAGCCCTTTTGTCAGACACAATAGTAAAATTTATTAAATTCTGCTAAATTTGCATCGAATTAATGTTTTTTTCTATTATAGCATAGCTTGTTTACATAAAAGCTAGACTAAAAAAATAAAGGCAGGTTATTTTTATCTTTGGACTGTCCCAACCGATCATTATGACTGTTAAGGTAGGAGAGACCCTTGTTAAAAAAAGTTACCTTGGTCCAATTTAAAATTTTAAAATTGTGTTAATTATAACTTTTAAAATTTAAATGACCATATATGGCTGATTTTATGAACAAATGCCAAGAACACATTTTATATAGCATTTAAAACCTTTATCAAACAACACCAAGATAACAAATATTGAATAAAATATAGCTGAAATTTCACAAATTTTAGCTGTAAAATGGGGGATGATGAAACTGCCCCGCTCATTACAGAGCACCAAGAAGGGTCGCCGGGCTTATCCCAACTCCGCACGGTGGTCAGAAATATGTCAAAACTCGACTGTCCAACTCCGCGCGGTGGTCAATTTCGGCTCTCACAGACCTGACGGCTGTGAGTTTGTATTTGAAGTTTGAAATTGTTATATATGTACATAATTTAGAACTGTACGAAACAAAAGTAACTAATAACATAAAGTTAATTAGTACAAAATAGAGTACTTATGTTTCATTAGAATTTACCTATTATTAACTTAACCAAACCTAGCCTGTCACACGAATAAAGTACCTATGAACAAATAAAAGTGTAACATATATAGAATATTTTATATTAAACACATCATATCTCATACGAAAGCACTAGGGGTAGAGATTAGATGTGACCAACGCGCGGAGTTGGACTGGAACCTTCGGGGGCCATAAAACTTTTCCTCGGCTTAAATTTGACCACTGCACGGAGTTGGGCTATCCCCTGGTCGCCTCGCCATACAAGAAATGCTGAAATTGCCCCGAGCGCCCGGCCAGGTAGCCTCTACGGGTATGGGGAAAAAAAGAATTATTGTTGTCCCTGCGTTCTGTCAGTGACTGCAGTCTTCTTATAACTACCACCAATATCGGGAATTACTAGCTTATTTAAGGTTAGGTTAGGTATCGGTACAGAAACAATTGTGACTTCTCAGAAAAAACAGTCGACGGCAGTTTTAGAAGACTGCTGTCACTGACGGGGACAAAATAATTCCCTTTTCCCCAGTCCCGTAGCGACTACCTGGCCGGGTGTTCGGGGGGCAATTTCAGCATTTATAGTCTTGCGAGGCGACCCTTCCCTAATCCTCTTTAATGAGCGGGACAGTTTCATGTTTCAAAAGCACCCAAAATGTCGGGGTAGTTTCACTACGCCAGTAAAATGTGGTTGAATATGCCTAAGCTAAAGAATATGAGGCGTTAGGCTGCGTCTCGTTCGAAACTAAAACAGTCATCTATATTATTAAAAGAATTTATTGGATTTTTGTGTGCAGCAAATTGACCCCTAAAAATTTATTTTTATTGGCATATTGGGTACCTATCAATTTAAAGCTCGTATCCTCTAGATGTGCCTTTTTTTGGATTTGGATGATATCCCACAAAAGCACTTCTTCCTTTTAAAATGTCTGAGTTTGTGCTGAATTCTCTTGTCAATCATCTGAACTTTTTCAAGTTTAATTTTTTTTACATAAAACAAATGTCCATGATACAATATTTTGTTTACATCCATAAGAAAATTGGACTATCGTTACAGTTGGTGATGTTTTAGTGAATTCAAGTAAAATATTGTAATGCTATTTTGTATAAAATGTAAATAAGAAAATTAATTACTTTAGATTTTGTCTTTTGATAGGATTTTGTGTGTTAATAGTATGTTTTAGAAAATTCAAGTAAAATATTATACAGTAATGTTATTTGTTTAAAATGTAAAGAAGAAAATTACTTAAGTTAGATGTTGTGTTTTCTAAAGTTAATGATTATCTCGTAAAAATAGATGATTTTAAACTTAGCTCAAAGCAATAGAAAACTGTAAACAAATTCAAATATATATCACGGATTTTGAAGTCACGAAGTAACACAGGTTGCTAGTATTCCATAACATTTTTACGACATAACATATTCATGGCGGCAGACCGGCAGCAGTGGAGGCAACTTGTTGGCGAGGCCAAAAACCTTCTTAGGTTTAAGTGGCCGAGGAGGTAAGGTAAGGTAACATATTCATGACATTTTTTTCATAAAATTTCCCATTTTGTTCGTACTTTAATTTAAGTTACACGAATCAAAAGGACTGCAGTTTAAATTTCAAATTGAATAAACTTAATTTTTCCATTATAGGTTTCTTCTACATTAAAATAAATACCAAATTTTGTAAACATCGGTTGGAAAAAATAAAAAATAAGAATGATTATTAAAAAAGGCAGATATCTGGTTAACAAAGCGTTATTTGGAAAAAAAATTGTCTTCTGATTTTCTGAATCTTGAACCATTTTCCAAACTTTGGCTGTTTACTTACGGGACACTCTGTATAATTATCATAGAGAGGTATTCTTATTACAAGCATCCTAAAAGCCAGATAAAACTTCAAGAAAATGTTGGATTTGAATATTATGACGGTTTAGTGTCAGTCTAAAATAAATGTGAACTTTGTATATCCAAGAAATTTAATGTCACATTAATGTTTTACACATAACATTTCCAAACGTAACCTAATCAAAAAATGTATTTACCTAATGGAGAATTGTTTCACTATAAATTGTATAGTGAAGGTTTAATAAAAAAAAAAATGTATGTTAATGATGGTGACATAAGAATACCACTGTAAAAGTTTTATCGTTGGCTAAATATTACTGCATCAACTTGGAGTGTTGAACATAACTAGAAACTACTAACTATAACTTACTTGATGTAATCAATACCATCAGTAGCTTGCATATCATATCACAGCCTTATCAGTCTAAACTGGACACTTCTGCTGCATTACTCAATCACCAGCAATGACTCTCTGGCACTGTCTGGTAATACCACTGTCTGGTAGTACCACTGTCTGGTAGCACCACTGTCTGGTAGCACAACTTTCTGGTAGTACTACTGTCTGGTAGTACTACTGTCTGGTAGTACCACTGTCTGGTAGCACCACTGTATGGTAGTACCACTGTCTGATAGCACCACTGTCTGGTAGCACCACTGTCTGGTAGCACCACTTTCTGGTAGTACCACTGTCTGGTAGTACCACTGTCTGGTAGTACCTCTGTCTGGTAGCACCACTGTCTGGTAGCACCACTGTCTGGTACTGTAGTACCACTGTCTGGTAGCACAACTGTTTGGTAGCATCACTGTCTGGTAATACCACTGTCTGGTAATACCACTGTCTGGTAATACCACTGTCTGGTAGTACCACTGTCTGGTAGTACCACTGTCTGGTAGCATCACTGTCTGGTAGTACCACTGTCTGGTAATACCACTGTCTGGTAGTACCACTGTCTGGTAGCACCACTGTCTGGTAGCATCACTGTCTGGTAATACCACTGTCTGGTAGTACCACTGTCTGGTAGTACCACTGTCTCGTAGTACCACTGTCTGGTAGCATCACTGTCTGGTAGCACCACTGTGTCTCTCGGCTCATTACTATCTTTCTTAGCACTGCTATCTCATTTATTCTGTCACTATCTCTGGTAGCACTACCCGTCTCTTTTGCTCTTTTGAAATGACCGACTTCAGATCAAGTCCAATGTTGACATAGTGTGTTGACTATTCAAACTAGCTATTCAACTAATAACCATTCAAAACATTTGAATAGCTATTGAAAAACTTTTAACATGAACAAATAGATTCACTAAATAAATTTCCTGAAATAACACTTCGTTCTTATGTTAAAGTTAAATAAACAGAAAACGTGTGACTAGTGTAAAGTAATTGAAGCCGACCGAGGGGAAGTAATGTCAGTTCCCCTCCTAGTTGTTAGGAAGGGGGGGGGGGTATCACTAGAGACGGTATTGATGCTCCGATCACGTATCTAATGTGGCTTCTCAGATTTGTGCAATTTTTCCCATATTTCTACACGGCTGGACTTTATTGCACCCATACCTCAAACCATAGTTATCAAACCATAGTGGGTTGATAGTATCACTTCGGACTACGGACTACGGAAAGTTTTGTGTTGTTATTCTTTATTGAATCTATTTATATAGTTGACTACCAACTATTCGTCTAGAGGTTATTTCCTATTCTTTACTCCAAGTGATTTCCTGAAGTCCAGACCCAAGTGAAAGCCGTATTTATATGATAAAAGCACAAGCAGTCTTTGAAAAATTATTGTGCCAATCACAATTAAATATTACGTTTATGTTTGAATAAAATGTATAATTATGTGTTTAATCTTAATTTAATGATAAAATGAAAGCCGGTAAAAACATGCATATTCGGTCTATACAAAACACATTAGAGGGAGTTTATGAATAACTTTGATCAGGAAATTATGGATATTGTTCTGTATAAATAAAACTATGATAAATTTACAAATATACTTAACCACTTAAATAACTCTGATAGTTAATATAATAAATGTATCTGGGAAGATTGCATAAACAAATTACGGCAATTATTTCATTTGGACAACCAATCCTATCACAACGTCCGCTGTAGACTTGATGCATTAAATACCAACGACTTCTGAAGTGATTTAATTCGTCATTGATCCACTCTTCAGGGAAAAAACACTTTTTTGTGAATCTAATTGAATACGTACAAGTTTTTTTATTGTCATAGTTAGTTGTTTTTTGCTACACCATCTCTAACTATTAAACGCTTTTCTTAATATAAAATGATCTCATGAAGCGCCCGCACTTTTATAAAAATTTAGTATGCAGTAATACTTTCAACTCTAAACTTAACAGTACAACCCCCATTGCTGTAAAAATTACGGTCCAAAATTAATTGCAACTTGTGTGATTCCCCAAATGAAATATCATAGTTACACCAACCAATTACCCATTATAAGAGTTGTTGACAAGCTAATAGGAGAAAGTATGTGCCAGATTGGCTCATACTGCTATTTTTGTGAAATTTTAAACTAATGATGTTAGATTAGCTTTGAATTTCATACAGTTCACATTTACTATAATGATTGTTTGGCAACTGAAGGGAATCTAGTAGGCATTAGTGAATAACCGAAATTTTCAAACCTTTCTTATATCTGAACATGACCAAATGTTTTTCTTTACAAGTCGCAGTGCTGCATTGTTAAGTAAAAGACATTTTAATCGTTATAGTTATCCAAACATCATTAGATAAACATCATTCGTTGGACAAAAAAAAAGATTTTTTCTACATAAAAAATGAATTTTCTATGATACAAAAACACCCCCGCTGCAGCAAACCTGCCGACTAAGCAAATTTCCAATTGTCTGAATTGATTTCCAATTAAATCTATTTAAATAACATTAGGTTTAACGAGTACCTAGGTTTGCTGCTGCTACAAGGAAACTAATAAGTGCATTTTTAGTAAAATATAATAGCTTAGAATAAAATATAAAAAAAATTTGCCAAGTTTTATCAAAATATATTTATAAACAAGCAAACTACAACGTTTTACACTATTCTTCATAAGAATAACATGGGAATTTTAAATTTACAATTTCTTGAATTTTCTCCGTTACCAAAAACCGTACAAAAACACTTTGATATAGTAATTATTTGTTTTTTAAGCTCTTAAAAAAGATCTAGAGAGAAATTGGGAATTTTTTTGTTTTGAGGGTCAACAATCATTTTTTACCCCATAAAACCCCCGTAAAACCCCCTTCCCATGGTCCGATTATATCGGTTCGTGAACTCATTCAAGTTTACCCCGCCTTACATCTTTAAACCAAATTTAATCAAAATGAGACAAAAATGACTCAAGTTACCGCGTTCACGGACGTATGTATATACCACTATGTGCAAATTTTAACCTAAATATGAGTGAAGGATGAGTGGTGCGATCTTGTAGTCTAGTTAGTGGCTAACCGACATATTCCTTAGACACAGCTGGTAATTAAATGCAATGAAGCCAGTAAATATTGCAACCACCGTAAGCGATAAAAAGTGAATTGTCGTCAGAATTAGTTGACTGGATGAACAAAGGTCTATCATCCAAATAAACAAATAAAACACCATAATCAACACCCTATTATTTTACGTGAATGCATTTAAACTCTCAAGAATTTATACGAAGCAAGGCGTAGGGGTCGTAGGATATCTGCTGGCCGGCTACGAGGACATTAACTGCAGTTGGAGTTCGTGCTCAGAATGTTTTGAGAACTTTTCTTACCTTCTACGACATTTATAGCCACCCAACATTACATTAGATTTCACAAATAGTTCTTCTATCATACTTTTAGGCTATTGTTTATTTATCGAAAAAGAATGGTTAACTTAAAATATTATTTTATTTAAAATATATTTCAGATAGTTTCAACACATGTTGTACGATTTCTAAGTAAATTATGCAAAAAATGTCAAGTTATATGATTACATTTTAATAAAATGTCCTTTCAAGCAAAAAATGAAAAACCAATTAAAAAAATACAAGTATGAAATTATAATTTATTGTAGATTGAATATCAGTTACTAAATGTACAAGTCACTGATAAGATAAAGCGCTTAACATAACAACACAAAGAGTGTAAAAAAAACTAATCCATCACATCATTTACTAATACAAAATAATAACAGATTGCTAAAAACCATCCCATAACAAACGTAGCTGTTCAAACATTGAACAAAGACAACAAATTAATATTTGGAAAAAGAGATTTAACGGTAGAACTAGCAGAAATGCTGCGCACTTAAAAGCCTCAACGTTAAAAACAATGTATTGTGGAAAATTAGCAAACTTAAAAAGATATAATAATGGTTTTAGCAAATATGAACAATTAAATAGCAATAACATGATTACAGTCACAAACCTATGCTAACAATAGGCCTAAGTTGAAAGAACATACACATTTTATGTTTAAAAACTATAATTTCTAGGAAAATGTTTTGATAAAATAGTTGTTATCTATAGCTTATTCGAAGATATATCAAATTCAGAATTAGGTTCCTTGCAATTCATGAAGAAAATTCATTTTAAGTCGTGTCAGCCAATCCAATGAATCGAGCGAAGCTATTAAATAAACTTGCTGTGCACGTCCAACAGTAAATGTGCGGATGAGCGAGTCATCAGTATTAGTTTGTCCAATTAATAAAACTGAGCTGAATCGATGCGTGGACTGAACGCTGAGGTTGTCAAAAGTGATAAGACGTCGACGAGAATGAGTCTTGTTGATATCGATCTCATAATCAGATGGAACCATGCAGTAGTATGTTGAAAGGGGACACTTGTGCCCCCTACAAACCCTTGACAGCGAGGCGACGACATGCGTGCAACATGAAGGTGCTTCTGGCTTGTGTCTTCGGTGTGCTCGTACTGACTGGGATAACTGGTAACGTCATATGTTAGTTATTTGTTTATTTTAAACTGTAAGCACCACTTGCTGATAGGAAAGATACATGATATAAACATTAAGAATTCTAACATAACAGAACGATATATGAAAGATACACGATATAAACATTAAGAATGCAAACAAAGTAAAACAAGTTTTAAATGCTATATATATAGTTATTTGTGCAACTAGTGAGAAAAGTGAGCAATTGACTCACTCGAGAGAAATCCTTACTCACGAGCCGTAGGCGAGTGAGGAACGGTTTCTCGAGTGAGGCAATTATACTTTGAACTCGAGTTGCACATTATACTTTTCCTACAGTTACCATAAAACAAATAAATTTGTGAAGAAATATAACATATTTTTACACAGAAGTGAACTTTTAATATAACATTTAATGTGAAGTGACAAATACAACAGTGCAACAGCTGACCAGCTGATTTACAGCCAGTGATGCCAACGTATTTCGCGCGCATACGACGTTGCCTGCATGTTACGCGCTCACTATTTCGTGCCTTCACGTTGCAAATCTGGAGTGAGACAAAGTAATTAGAGTGAGACAATGTTAACATTGTCTCACTGATGAGCGAATTGGCCACTTTGCTTTCTCAAATCAGTGAGAGAACATGTACATTGTTAGTTAACTGTAGGAAAAAATATTATCATCTATATATAACATAAACATCAACAAAATTAACAAAGAGGTGTCCATAATTTGAATAAATATTCAAAGTAAGCTTTGTAAAGTAAAGCTCTCATCCTTTTGTTAAATTTATTGCATGCTATAAATATAACAAGTTAGTTTTAAGTGAGTCAGTGGCTCAGTCGGTAGCGTCGCGAACTTCGGGTCCAAGGCAGTGATGTCGTGGGTTCGGATCCTGGTCACTGCCACTAAAATTGATCAGCACAGTTCACCTTTGTACTGTACTGGCTCACTCCTTGCTTTGCTGTAAACGTTCCACGCACGGGCGGTTAGTCTATGTGGACGGGCATTGCAAGGTTAAAAGATGCCGCCAACCTCTTAAAAATAAATAAATAAATAAATATGCTTCGTGTTGGTAACATTTAGAATTCACTGATGTTTGATAAAAGTTTATATTAAACATAGTCCCTTAGTTAATCTGTCATCCTTATAGATCAGATGAAGCCAATTTTATTGCTAGTCCCTTTCGGTGCCACGAGGATCGTGTGTTTGTTTACAATTTGTTTGTTTTTATTTCAGTTATTTTAAACTTTGTTTAACCAATGCTAACGATCTAATCATAAACAATAACTCGTCTCCTGCTTATGACCAAACAGTAAAACACAAATCATAAAATTAACCTTAAAATAATAGAAAGAAAATGCGCCCATTGTCACCAACATGAACTAGACATAAAAAAGCCTCAGATTTTACAATGAAATAAGAAGTCTACTTGTCACTACTTGTCTACTTGTTGTTGTTTGTTGTTAGTATTTGCTTTAAGTAATCTCAAGGGTTACATTGAGGGATCTTAAGGGTTTGGGAGTGCTTTAAGGGTTACATTTTACAGTTTGTACTGTACTAATGGATGTAGTCGTTGGGGAGACTCTGTTGTTTATGATAGTTGTAAATTGTTGTTTTAACAGTCTTAAAATAAGTTAAATCGCAATAAACAAACAGTAAACATAAACGACCACTATACTAACAGTATGAAAATAACTGTCTTCATCAGATTCATTAGAATTATAAGTCATGGATGCATCCATGCAAGTAGTTGATATGGTAGTTTAGCTTTCTAACAAACAGAGAAGAATAATCAATGTCTTAACAAATCTAAAGCCATACCATGCAAAAAATAGTATTTATGTTTTGAGATAAATAAAATGTACAAAATCGTCAAAGTACAACAGAAAAAAAACTTGTGAAATTCTAAAGGAATATACAAATTCATAAAATCCATGAATTTATTTTGACAATAATAATATTCTTCCGGCACCGCAGTGTACTAACTATACTAACCAATAAACTAACTAAACTAAACTAATAAAAATAATTTATTAAACCTAAAAGAACACATGCATAACATGTTTAGAACAGTTTCCCGTGAATCATAAACAAAACATGTTAAAACACACATCAAGGTTTGTCAACTTTAACATTTTAATTCCAAGGAACATCACAAGACAAACACACATTGGTTTGTATATTCTAAAAAAAAAACGATGGATTTAGAAACATTCTAAATAGGCTAATGGACTAAGTAATGGACTGAATCCTACCACTAAAATAACTACACACTTTTATACTCTGAACTATAGTTGCGTAAACAATGTTTGTTATTTTAACAATATTTTAACACATGTATTTATAGACAAACTATTCAAGTCGTCCTTACTTTGCCATGACTCCAGTAACAGAACAATATAACATTGAACACTTGTAATTTAATGAACAAAGTGACCCACCGGAGTAGTAGACCGTGAACGTGACCAAACCAAACACCGATTCTGAGGGGATCTGAGCTGGAGAAACACGTCAAATTGTCCCTTCATTGCTCTTGTTTGTAGAAAAAGCACTCAGTCATTTTGTGTCAGCAACTCAATTGAATTAACAGTAAATTGTGATATGAAAATGAGAAATGCCAACTAGGCTGCAGCATGGAGTTTGATATCCTCTTTAAATAAGATAAAATGTAACGTGAGAATTTTTTTAGATCATACACACATACAGCAACTTACGTACTTAAGCATCACACTCCTGGGCTCATTATATTAGATCCTGGGCAACATTAACACAATATTTTTTTTTAGATTCAATTGGTTATTATGAATTCACATGAGTTATTACGTAACTTTCTCAACGAACTCATGTAGGTCAAAGGCTGTGAAGTGTGATATGCTGGATGTGACATGCTGAATGTGATATGTCAAATGTAAGGTATCGGATGTGATATGTTGGATGTGGTATGTCAGATGTTAAGTATCGGATGTGATATGCTGGATGTGACATGCTGGATGTGGTATGTCAGATGTTAAGTATCGGATGTGATATGCTGGATGTGGTATGTCAGATGTTAAGTATCGGATGTGATATGCTGGATGTGGTATGTCAGATGTTAAGTATCGGATGTGATATGCTGGATGTGGTATGTCAGATGTTAAGTATCGGATGTGATATGCTGGATGTGATATATCAAATGTAAAGTATCGGATGTGATATGTTGCAGGACATCTATTTAGCAGGAGAGAGGTAACCACAAATCCACCACCGTCACTAAACCCTCACCATGAGGCCTTGGCTAAGCTCATCAGAACGTCTGAGGATGCTATCAGCTGGAGTACGTAATTACTAATTCACAATTGGTGTAAACAAAGAGCATAATGACGAGTGAATATGTTTCACCAAAACTTCTTTAAAATATTGCACACTTTGCTTGCACTGTATTCTTCCATTCGTAAACGTATATTTTAAACGATTCAGACTCAAACGTTTTAGTGTTATAATGTTTAACTATTATGATCTGAAGTTATGCAGGGCAATAAAAATGAATGGCTCAAATGTCTTATTTTTGAGTAATCTCTAGTGGATAGAGCAGTAGGCTGGTCTCTAGACGGTCGTTGGATATTTCTACATCATTATTCTACATCCAGATCTACAAATACACTATTTGACCTAACTATATACTTAACCTCGCAATTTCAATAATGCAAGTAGTAGAACGGTTTTGTTTCTAAAATTACGTTGAGTAAACTTGGTCAGGTTTGGAGGTTTCGTGGGTTATCAGCGTGGGATGACAGCGCAGTGGGATGAGATCGCCGCTCTCTAGGGGTTCCGCTCTCCAGGAAGGACATAAAACTCATACGTCTAATTGCAACAACTTATAATAGTTTTCTGGGTTATTAGGCTAAGCAAGGATCAGTTAGGTTTGCCATAGAACTGAAAATGCAGAAGAATGTTAAAAAAGTGACTCGTCTTGTTGGCAACCTTACATGAACATCAAGCGTCCAACTTAAATCTGGAAATAAGATTTTTGCGCTGGGTCAAAAGGCACATATAAATATAAATTGATAAATTATAAGTAATCCCAAAGCCCGTCCTGCTAGGTAACTGAAGTGCGGAGTAGGTCAAACGTATAGACTGACGGCCGTTTGATGAGGATTGTAGACTGTATCGTATATCTAGTGCGGCCTTGCTGTATCACATGATATCCGCCATTTTCCATGGCGCGCTCAGCACACGGCGCTGTCATTCCATAACATATTACCATTGGGCGCGTTCAGGGAACATGTACCGGTGCACCGGTGCAGATTAACCGGTGACTTATTCACCGGTACCGCCCCGGGGCAAGAGTCTTGGTCTCCCAGAACGGTTATTCACCGGTTTACGGTACACATCTGATTATAATTTACACATTCACCTATTATTTACTTTATAATATTTAAACCAAACAAACTTGTCCTCACAGAATAAATTATTTGAAAATTATTCACTTAATACGTAATTTAACCCCCTCATAGAATAAATTATTCACTCATTACGCAACATAACCTATAAAACTGATGAACATTATTCGATGGACCCGCCATCTTGCCGTAGCTGCATGCTGTTGTCCAAGAAACAGACCAATCAGAGGCCGCCGGTGTATTATGCACCGTACAATTTCTCCGGTGCATAAATCTTGCACCGGTGGAGGAAAAAGAGGAAATAGCTGTCTGCTAGGTTAACTCACCGGTCTCCCAGAACGACACATTTTTTGAACCGGGGCAACACCAGTGCACCGGTGCATGTTCCCAGAACGCGCTCATTGACAGTTGGATTGTTGTATTAATAGTCAAAGCTATTACCTACCTGTTCTGCTTCATGCATGAGCGTACCACCGTTCTATCTTCTATCAATAAGTCGTTCTCAAATTACTAACGTAAAAAGCAAGAAATTAATTTTGTTATCCTTTGTTACTTTGGATCGTGATTATAAGATGTTTATAAGGTGAAACTATTGGGGAAGAACCCATTTTAGCGTACAATATATGACAAACCACATTACGTCTCAGACTACCAATTTAGCTAATCCTTTAAAAAGAAATATGTACCTAGCCCCTGTATTTGTAGGTAGCCTAAAACAAAATTACCGTTAAAAAATACGCTCATTTCAATCTGATTTGTTATAAAATATCACTTGACCCAACAACTTCCGCAAGAGCTACGTGGGATTTATTAATGTGATTCGTTTTACTAATCGATTAAAGTAACAAAAACTATCAAAGAACATGTAGCTACTTACAAAGAAGCAAAATTATAAATTCAAGGACTGGTGCATTAAATGAAGAGATAATGGAAGGGATTTCTGAGACAAAAATTAAAGGACGTTTTACAGTTCGTTAATTTTGTATCAGAGCAAGCTTTTTATCAGCCGCCAATGCCTTTACTGCTACTGACGAAGAGGAGGTTAATTTTAAAGTCAAATCAAATTTACTTAAGTACTTGTGTATATCAATCCTTTTTTTTAACGGTCAAAATATTCAATGGCTTAAGAAGGCTATAATAGTCGCAAAGAAAATTATGTGATGTACACAAAAATCTATGTTTGGAGCCCAAATAGATAATAGCTGAAGCATGGCTTTGTTTACATTAAAAACTAGGTAGTAAACACTAAATTAACAAAAATATTTATATGTCAAGATTTTCATAAGAATAGGTAAATAATGTATTATTAAATCATAAAATCCCTAAATCCAGTTTATGATTCAATGCGAACAAAGTAGAGTACGTTATTGAGTTTTATTCCGGCCAACAAGGCCATTGCTGTAGTAATTAGACATTTCTTTTTCGTTTCATTATATTTCAAAGAGTTCTTAATTCTCTCTTAGTTGTATATAATATTGTATATAGTGATAATATAAACGATGAAATAGCTTCTCATTAGTGCCCTTCAAGTTTGGCAAGGTAAAACATTTCATGCATGAGAAAGAATCAGTAGGCCTACACCGTAGGGGTCAACTAAACCGAGTTCCTTTTATTATTTTAAGACTTGTTTAGAGGTTAAAACATTAACATGGGAACTGAATGTCTAAATCACGTTATTTTTTAAAGATAATTTGTTAAAGATAATATGTCCGTTCCTAAAGCTGATTAACATAATATGTTGTTCCAGTTGGCAATAAAACTATTGATTCAATAAACAACATAAAGAACTTAACTGCGGCAGCAGTCACCCCTGAATCGCTGTTGGTCGTCAAGAAGAACGCGATTTTAAATTGGCGTAAGTATTTAAATAATATTAACTCTTTAAGTAGCTTAGGTCAGCAAAAATACTATGTTGTCTAAATAAGAATTAAGTAACAAATAGCAGAAGCCATATGCAATGATGCAGAAAAAAAATTAATCGTGGTATAAGTACGAGTAAATTAAATACTGCACATGTTCAACCTTACATTTAAAACCTACCTTTTATTGAGTATGTTATGCTTATAATTGTTCTTTAAAAATTGTGACCGTTATGTCATATTTCAAGCTCAACTTCATATGATAAGTGATTATAGCCAATTTAAATATTAAGTCTAACAATTAGTAACGTAAAAGCTGCAATTTCAAAATACATTCTGCAAAAATTGTTTGCTATTTAAAACTTAAAAATACATTTCAGCTAATACGAGAACCTTTTTAGGATTGCTATTCAGCATTTATATTATTTTTAAGTTTATAGGCACTTGATTTAACTTCATGTTGTTAGCCTATATAGGCTACTGCAGTTTCATTCCCGAGGGGAACTTCATCACAGGCTTTGAAGGACATCAATTCATTCTAGAGGAAGTCGTAGTATCGTCATAGTAAAAACCCATCGAAGTAACATTTATGAGACTGTTGTATTCCGAACTATTTAAATTTTATTTAGACATTTTATCGTTTTAAGTTTTTTTTATAAATACAAACATAGATCTCGTTGAATATGTTACTGTGTAAACATCTTTGTATTTTACCCCTCAAAAGGAAGACGTTTTATGCCAGATAATCTAATTAAGAAATGTTGTAATCACAGGATCATGTCTGAAGAAATTTATAAGTTGTTGAAGTTGTCGGAAGTTAAAGGGCAAGAGTTAATTGAAGAATTCAGAGTTAACAAGAACTCCCCATTAGCAGCTTTCATTGGGATTCCACCCTTGGCGCGTCGTCGTTCTTTTGAAAGTAGACAGGAGTCTTGGAATCAAGCTCCATTCAGCGGGTCGTCATCAAACTCTTCATCCGACAAGTTTTTCGTTCGTAAAGATACTTGGGCTATTTGAGCTTAAAGTAATGAAATCAAATCAGAATCGTATGCCAAATAAATACACGATGTGTAATTAAGTAAATCCTTATGCATTAATTTCGTTGTTTTTACTGGATTGAGCAGGAAAATATATATATTTAATACACAGTTGTAACACTGTTTTCTCAGTAATTACTGGACCGATCTACAAGATTTATGTCTCAAATTAAAGGGGATAGTGTGTAGATTTGCCGAACTTCCTTAGAATTTACGTTTTTTCTAAGGGCTACGACCTACAGCCCTTTAAAGGTCGAGTCAATACAATTCTTATTGAAGAATATAATACACAGTTATTCGTCAGCTGTTTAATGTTTGTCAGACATTTGTTATTATTTTTATAACCTCACTTTCAGTATGCAATTATTAAACTTGGAGTTTCTGTTTATAAACACACGATTTTGATAAAGTAAAGTGTATTGTTAACTTATTTTTGAAATGTTTTAGTTTTCCTGCAAAGTGATCTGAAGGAAAGTGGTAATTGAGTTTAAGTTTGAGTATAGAATGTGAAATAATACCCATAGTAGGGGACGGAAACTTATTGTTTTGATCAATATAATTTATTCTCTACGGCCACCAGAATAATCATGGGGAAATCCGCTTGCAAGTTGTACATATAATTGCTAATGAGTGGGAAACATACAAACATTTTATAGTAGGTGACGAATCTTACTCAAGATCAGTGTTAGACGTTCAGTGGTACCAAACTTTACCTTCTCGAGATGGCGAGTACGCTGGGATACGTGGAACTACAATATATCAGTGAATTTTTTTTTCAAGTACACAGGAAAGTTGCTTGAGAAACTGTGACTTACCATTTGGTTCTGGCGAAGAAGTATGTGACTTGATGTTTAATGGCAATGTTGACTCGGGTCATTATAGCGTTATAAAACTTTTATCACTAACCTCAGGGTGTGAAAAGTACAAAAAGAAAAAGAAAAGGTAATCATTAACCGGGCGTAAAGAGACATACCGAACGAAAGAAAATGTAGAGAACCGTCGAACTAAAAAGGTAAAGAGCAGTGTTGGTGTTAAGTGCTCTGCAAGTCCCTACAAAAAATACCAACTCTTGAATTGGGGTCGTTAGATTGGATTTGTCCCTACTTCAAATCTATGAATTTCGAGTCAGAACAGACTAACTGGGACACAAAAATGTTTTAGTTTTCCTGCAAAGTGATCTGAATGAAAGTGGTAATTAAGTTTAAGTTTGAGTATGGAATGTGAAATAATACCCATAGTAGGGGACGGAAACTTATTGTTTTGATTAATATAATTTATTCTCTATAGCCACCAGAACAATCATAGGGAAATCCGTTTTTTTTTTTTTTTAAATTGTTGTCGTTGGATTGGATTTGTCAGTACTGCAAATCTATGAATTTTGAGTCGGAACAGACTAACTGGGACACAAATATTTTTCCTTATGTTGTCACAAGGGGAAGGTAAAATTAACTCCATATCAACATTGTGAGTTTATGGAAAATCTTATCAACAGCGATTATAAAAAAATATTAAGGGTCAAAAGAGACAAAAAACTATTTGAGTAAAATATAATACAAATCTGCATTCAAAATGGTCAGTTCTAAGTCTCACATGAATCAACATCTTTCTGGTAGCGGTAGTCTACATAGTTTTAAAATCCACGACTACTTTTCCGTTAATACCCTCTAACATTGAACAAAGTATGCCCAACTTTATATATACGACGTCAACACAGCTTTTACTCACAGTATGGGTCAAAGATTCGTGAAATGCGACCAACTGCTGATGCGTGATTTACATGTAGGCTAAGTGACTATCTTTATTCCATACAACAAATGTAATGAAAAAAAAAACGACGAATTTAGGAAGATACTTGAGCAAATTATCTAAATAGCATAAATAGCTGCTTATTAGGTTATCAGCATTGCCCAGTTTGTATACTATTTATTTTTCAAATGAAACTCGAATTAATATAAAACATTCATTTGGTTAAAATAATATATCGGTTTGATTAGCATAAAATAGTTTATACAGGCAAACTATCAGTTCTATTTCATGTAAAAAATTAAACAACCCCAAAATGGAATACAAAGATAAACAGTATTTGTTAATTATTATTTCTTTTATTGCTGACAAAATTCCCGTGGCGGAGCACGGGCGGTTAACTAGTATAAGCTTATATTGATGTTACAATATAATAAGCTACCTAACGTGTAAAATTAGAATGATAATTTATCCTCACAAGGCTAGCTTTCTGCCCCAAATGAACATTACATTTGTTACATTTTGTTTTACATTTAATATGGTCATCTTATGCAATGAGTTACCTCTCTTCCATTTATAAGGTGTAATTTTAAGGTTAAATTTACCCTAATGGAAAATAAAATTTTTAATGTTTTATGCAGTGTTCCGCAACTACCTTGGTTTTGAGTATCTTTGAAGGTGAAGTTATCATATTGAAATAACCTATGAGTATAAATTTTATCGATCATATTTCAAAAGACTTTGGAAATATCTCGTGATCAGTATAATCCATTTCAGTAACAATACACAGATATTTTGGCTGAAGTAAAAACTTATCGAAATGATGAAATTTTGAGTGTGGGATTTAAATCAAGATTGAATAATCGTTTGTACTTTTGAATACTATACATTTAAACTTGAAGAGGGTTTTGTTTTGGATTTTTGTGATCCTTCTTTTGAAGAAAGGCTTATTTTGGTGGAAAAGGAATGCTGAAGCCATAACTTAGATTTTAGGTTGCTTTTTTTAGTCTAGTAAGTCTAGTAGCCGACGCCAACATTTTAAATCAGTTTTGGAATAATATTTTTTAATCATATTCAGCAAATGTGATACGATTTCAGCATTTGGATAAGAATGGGATATGCAGATTCAAGTCGTATTTGTTACTATATTTATTGCCATCATCTATGGTACTTATAACGCATGGCAAGATGGCAGGTAATTTATGTGTGCTTTACAACTGAAGGCTAAATGTTTCATTTAACTTTTTAACTCTAGTTAAATGAAACCATCTGAATGAATTGTATTTATTCGATTACATAATTGTGGATGAGTTTTGATGCACATAACGTTACTTGTTAGGCTTAACCTGTGTTTGTCCCCAGTACGAGGTGTGAGCAGCTACAACAGCAGTGTGATGGCCGAGGGGGCGGAGTCCCACGGGACTGAAGACGTCGAGGACAGTGGGGAGAGTGTCGTGATCGCTCACCGCACTCCGGGCCACGGCTTCTCCTGGGGTAGGCCTACACCAGTCGACTGGGCTAGAGGGCTAGAGGGCTAGAGCCAACTAACTATTAATAAGTTAGAAGTTAAAAATAAAAGACTAGAGTTAGATTTTGGAGAGTTGACGCGTTATGGACCCGTTGGCAATAATTAAGAACGGCAATTTCCTTATATCTTCTGGTAGAAAATGTAAGATTTTTACTTGAAGTTGCTGTTGGAAAGCATCATCTACTTGCCAATGTTAAAAAATTTCTGTAGATTGTTAGCTATTCAATACCAGACACAACTGTCCTTTATTATTATGATTTCAGTCAGTAGTGAAAGGTCCATGGCATTATGAATAGGGGTAGAATCATTAATAATAATTCATCAAATTCATACTAAATACCTAAATAATTTTTATATTATTATGTGGTTAGTCTAAATAAGAACATTGTTACTGTTAGCACAATGTAATTACAAACAAAATTCTTAATAATAATATTCATTTCACATTTCCTGAAAATCTACATAACTTCTTTAACTAATGATATGATTGTTGTGTTAATGTTCCTTAGTGGAATAAATCTTTTTTTCGTAGACAACACTATTTAGTTCCAAACCAATATATACAGCCAAAAATATGCACATCAACTATATTTTCATTTTAATTACTCCTTTGAAATCAATTAATTACTTATTACACCACTAAATTATGCGTCTAATAATCATAATATGATCTGTTACACCTTATATTACTTATTGTACAAACATCACTGTATTTGATTGGTGAAACAGCCATTGAAAGATAGGTTGTGCATTACGATTTTAGGATGAATGAAAGAGTAGTGTATTGCCCTATATTTGGCCTGTATTCATCTTAAAAACTTACAAAGGAGGCAACTATATTAGTAACGCAACCTGAACAATGATTTAGAGTGAACACATTTGTATTGATGTTTTAGCATTTTAAAACGTTCCAAACATAATTGTAGTCATACTTGTGTGTTCACCAGGACCTCCCAAGAACACCAAAACTAATGAGGACGTACAGCCGGGAGGTCTGCTACATGCCGCTGGTAGAAGAGTGCACCGGATCTTCTCGTACTTGTACCATGCCTCTAGAAATGTCACTAGGAGAGGCAGGGCCTTCATTCAGGCTGGGATTGACAAAGGTACATTGAACCGGCAAACGAATACAAATTCCAAAATGTGTAACACACCGTATTATTTTGCTCAAATTTCACTCTATTTAGCAATTTATTTTGGAAGGTTAGCTATAGTTTAATGGTCTAGTTAAATTAAAAGTAATCAAAGCTGGCTTGGCCTGCTTCTGGTCTGGGTAAAGATTTCCGCCCTCTGGTTCCCCCAACAACGTTTCCAATTAAATTATTATTTTATGAAAGTAGCATAAGATAGCACGCTCTTAATTCCAACATGCTATGGTCCTCCAGGCTCTAGCACAACAGTCAGGCAATTATATATTTCACTTAATTTGCAATAAAATATATCACATCACCACAATATACATAACTCGGTCTTCCCAATTGTTCAGCCAATTTTCCACCCGGCTAAAATCCCCAGTGGTCTTAGAGAAAACACATCAAAAGACAAAATAACAATCAATTTTGTTATTCAAAACTAATTAATTCTTGAACCACCTTCTTTACAAAGTTTCAATAATTCTGCTGGATTTTCTTTGGTGAATTCAAAACAAATAATTAGCTAGGTATGATTATTAAAAAAGTACATTTGTGAATATTCACGCTTTTTCTTTGGTCAACGGTATTTTATTGTTATAAGGAAAACATTCTCAAATATTGAACACAGACTTTAACGGTAGTATAATATTTTATGCATTGTGCAGTGTACGCTTTTCGCAGGACGGATCAGCCTTTCAATTATATTTCTGTAAATAATTTATTTTTGTAAAAAATACAACCGACTTCAAAACGCTATAAAAAGAATGAAATAATTTTAATAAAGTAAACTTTTGTACTAGGCAAGCTCACATATTTTAAGTCGGCGCGGCTCTATGATGATTTTTGATACAAAATTGAAAGAGGGTGTCCATATTGCAGGTGACTATCTATAACTAAAGGTGTTAATCTGCATGTCTTTTTCATAGTTATGCGTTAAGTGTTATTTTATTACCGTAATCAGAGATCGGCATTATAGTGGTATTAACGAGTATCTTTAAAAAGATTATAACACATTTAAATGTTTCTAACTTGGAAAAGTAACGTTTTAATACTAAACTAGCTTCTTTTCCCTATCATAATATCAAACTAAATTATTTTCCTATTCATATAGAACATTTGTGTGTGTTATTTTCATAATGCATTTATTCTGAAGTAAACATAAAATACAAGAAAATATTTCCTTTAATATATAAACAAAACAGTTCAGTATGTTTTTTATATATTTATGTTATCCAGCTACAATTTATTGATTTGCAAAATACACACACAATATTTAATTTCAATCATATTTGCAGTTTGAGCCGCGCCGACTTGAAATACGTGAGCTTGCCTAATACAAAAGTTTACTTTATTAAAATTATTTCATTCTTTTTAGAGCGTTTTGAAGTCGGTTGTATTTTTTACAAAAATAAATTATTTCATGATTTTTAGTTACTGTATAATTTTTTATATATTAATTACTTTGAGGTTTTTTGATAAGCAAAACTGTTTGAAACAATCAAAAGTTCCACAGAACAATCATTATTTTAAAACTGCTTGAGTCACCTGTTCAGGTTACAATGGGTATGAAAATAAACATTTTTAGATATTCCTTAAGAAAGAAAGAGTTGTCCATTACATTAGGCCTAATGAAAAACTAATTGTCTTTTCTAGATACATTGAAATGTCAGACATCATCGTTTCCTGCAATCGGTGTACTTCTACATTATAAAAAGAAATACATTAACGTCTCAAGCCTTTTGGAACAATATGAAAGTTATTCCTCAGCCACCAGCACTAAAAAATCTCTCAAAAGTGGAAAATTGGTCGTTAACACGTATAGTACCTTTGGAAAATATTATATGAAAGATTGGTTCAGCTAAAAGTGGTGTAAGTCATGTAGGGGGTTTTGTTTGCTCAAGATATAGCCTAGTCGAAATTGCAAATCATCTTCCTCTAGGACTTTCCGAAGCAGGCATAATAGTATGGATATGTTATAGTAACTGGGTAGAGAATATTAATAAACATTCCACATCTGCAAATGAAATATGTATATGAAAGATTGGTTCAGCTTAAAGTGGTGCAAGCCATGTAGGTGGTTTTGTTTGATCAGGATATATCAAACAATCAATTTGCCTAGTCGAAATTGCAAATCATCTTCCTCTAGGACTTTCCGAAGCAGGCATAATAGTATTGATATGATATAGTAACTGGGTAGAGAATATCAATAAACATTCCACATCTGCAAATGCATGTTTAGTAATTAAAATATTTAACACTTTTAAGACAATTGATGATTATGCACTGTCACACTTCTTAGGTCGTGTAAGGAATAATTGCATTTAATTTATATTTAGACCTGTTTTACGAATGCTTTGGTTTTCACAGTACACCTTTATTTGTCAATATCATACAGCTATTCACTGAAACATATATGTTTTTGTAAGTCAGAATATTCAATACTAAAAACAGAATTACTATATTAAACACAAATCAGGTCAAACGTTAAAATACATTTTTTATAGTGACCAAAACAAAATGCATTTTTCTCAATGTAATTCATTTAGGCTCCATGGCAAGAAATAGTTTATTGATCAATATGAAGCAACTTTTTCATGAAGAATTGTCTGTAGCTTCATTTAAATGGTTTCAACTAACAGCTGTAGGAATGTTATTATTATTTATTGCCTTCTCTGCACAAATGTAAACAATCTGCACAAATGTAAACAAAATAAATGTTGAATATTTAAGGTTTTCAGAATTTTTCACCGAAACAAATATTATACTTAAACATAATATATAAGGTACCAAATAGAAACTCTCCTGGTTATTTTGGTGGTGGAACCACACTGATCGGTAAAAGAATCGCATAGAAATTGGTGAACATACATAGAAAAAAAAAACATCGCCACAAACAAATTGAGAACCTCCTTCTTTTGTTGGTAGTGGGGAAGTCGGTTAAAAAGGTAAATTAATTTGTTAGGTAAAGGCTTGGTGTCTATTTTATTTATTTTTATTTTCGCCTCCATCAAAAAATTAAATAATAGACTCTGGAGTTGGCTCATTAAGATCAAAATATTCTGTACCACTTTATACTAAAATAAAATTAAACTATTGAATTGTATTTAGATTTTGCATATTGTTGTAGTTAAACCCGCAAAGCAGCAGAGCAGCGAGTATTCGGAAAAAATTGATAATACTAAAGGTAAGCAGAAAAAGTTTGTAATAAGTTGTTCATCTTAAATATCAATACTTTTACCTTAACTAGCTCGTTATCTTCTACTTATTGTTTGTTTCAAGGAATCGATGATTAGAACTTTCGAGATAAATTCCTTTCTTGGTCTTTCCATTGCATTCTTTAATGATATAACTTTAAACTGAATCACTTGTGTTAATTCTTGAATTAATAAAAAAAAGTAAAACTGACCTTTAGCTAACCAGTAGTTTTACAACGTCCATAAACTTCATAATCCATTACGGAGACTACTTACATGTTTAAGGGGTCAACAATTAATTCATATTATTTCCTAAATTAACTATAACAATCAACACTTTTTATAGGTTCGTAAAGTAAAACTACCATTTACTACAATTGAATTGGTTCTATTAGTCTAAAAAACTCTCTAGTAGTATACAGGGTTAGTAAAAAGTGTGGAGACCCCCTGTTATTTTTTAACAACCTATACTAGAAAACTAAACTCGGCACACCTTTATGGTATGTTGTGAAGTACTTTTTGGGCATAACCGCCACTTGGTGTACATCCCCAAAATGGGGGATTTTGGGGGAAACTCAAAAATTTTAAAAACAAAAACCCATTGAGTGACCTCATTTTGAAGGTCCTGGTAAAAGAAAACCAACAACGCAACTTAGAGATCTCTATCTCAATCCAGTAAAAAATGGCAGCCAATTGAAATTCTCAGAAGTTAAATTGAACTTACAGCTTCCCAAGTCTGGAGACACCCTGTAAATTTTTTAAGGGCTCTCACTAGGAAAACTAAACTCTACACACCTTTATGGAACGTTATGAAGTACTTTTTGAGCCTAATTGCTACTTGGTTCCCAAACCCAAAATGGGGGATTTTGGGGGAAACTCAAAACTTTTTAAGGTTAAGCTCCATTGAGTGACCCCTCATTTTAAAGGTCATACAGTATTAAAAGAAAACTAACAACGCAAAATATAGGTCTCTATCTTAACACAGTAAAATATGGCAGCCAATTGAATATAAAATTGCAAGTTATTTCTGATTTCTAAAGATTTCAATCAGCTTCCATTTTTTACTGGATTGAGATAGAAACCTCTAGTTTGCGTTGTTAGTTTTCTTTTACCAGGACCTTCAAATTGAGGGGTCACTCGATGTGGCTTATCGTTTAAAACTTTTGAGTTCCCCCCAAAATCTCCCATTTCGGGTTTAGGAACCGAGTGGCTATTATGCTTAAAACGTACTTCATAACATGCCAAAAAGGTGTGTAGAGTTTAGTTTTCCTAGTGTGAGCCGTTACAAAATTTACAGGGGGTCTCTAGACTTGGAAAGCTGTAAGTTAAATTTAACTTCTGAGAATTTCAATTGGCTGTCATTTTGTACTGGATTGGGATAGAGACCTCTAGTTTGCGTTGTTGGTTTTCTTTTACCAGGACCTTTAAAATGAGGGGTCACTCAATGGGTCTTTGTATATAAAATATTTGAGATTCTCCCAAAATCCCCCATTTTGGGGATGTACACCAAGTGGCGGTTATGCCCAAAAAGTACTTCATAACATACCATAAAGATTTGCCAGTTTAGTTTTTCTAGTATGGGCCGTTAAAAAAATAACAGCGGGTCTCCACACTTTTTACTAACCCTGTATAGTCTTTAACTTTTGTCTGATTTAGGTACCCCGATGGTGGTCGAACACTGGGTTTGTGCAGTAGACTGGGACATGGATGTCTTCACTATGGCCTTTCAGAACGGTGGTCAGGCTAAGGTCTATAACAAAGAGCACGGAACAAGTGAGTATAGGCATAGATAATACATACTCCCTTAGGTATAGGTCAATAACTTTTAGAGAATCTAGATTCTCTCAAGATCAATAAGAAACTTCCTCTTGGTTTCATTTATTACTTCTCATGGCACCTTTGCAACGAGTGTTCAAACATCAACTTGGACAATGAAGTAGACATATGATTGATTATGATAAGCTGTAGACAGTTTTTCTATTTAAAAAGAACAAGTGAATGATATACCCATAGTGCAACACATTTTGAAATTCAAATTTCTACTTTAGTATTTGTATTTTGTACAAGTTTGGAGAATCAATGTTTTATATTTCAGTTTCCTTGGCGTTTTAACAAGAGTTCAAGTGTTGACTTTTGGATGATAAAGTTGACATCTAATCGATTTTGACAAGGTGTAACTATTTCTTTTAATTAAAAAAGAACTTACGTATACCATTTCCATAAACCGTTACTCATATGCAAGTTTATTATTCACACTGTAAAATTCAGATTCATATAGATCCAACACTTTCATTCATAGTTAAATCTATAAAGTTATGTTTTAATTTTTTTATTATAAATCCACGAGGACTTTAAAATAAAAAAAAAACTTCTTGGATCACTCTGTAGCTGTCTCATTCACACTTTACATTATTATTATTCCTTTTAATTGATAGAAAATAATTTCCTACCTTACAATTTACACTAGTAGAATCTCAACACTTTAAACCAAAATTAAACTGTTTAATTGAATTTTTACAACCGTCAATTCGACGTTTCTTGTACCAGGATTCAGGACGTCCTAATTGTGCTAAAATGCAATCACGTCGACGCTTTAGTCACTTCATTAGGATACAATTACAGACGCTTTGATCATACGATCCAGTGCTTTCTGTACTATAGTATTGCAAGGTGCCATGTAGTTAAGCCATTACAACATTAGGATACAATTACAGACGCTTTGATCATACGATCCAGTGCTTTCTGTACTATAGTATTGCAAGGTGCCATGTAGTTAAGCCATTACAACATTAGGATACAATTACAGACGCTTTGATCATACGATCCAGTGCTTTCTGTACTATAGTATTGCAAGGTGCCATGTAGTTAAGCAATTACAGACGCTTTGATCATACGATCCAGTGCTTTCTGTACTATAGTATTGCAAGGTGCCATGTAGTTAAGCAATTACAGACGCTTTGATCATACGATCCAGTGCTTTCTGTACTATAGTATTGCAAGGTGCCATGTAGTTAAGCAATTACAGACGCTTTGATCATACGATCCAGTGCTTTCTGTACTATAGTATTGCAAGGTGCCATGTAGTTAAGCAATTACAGACGCTTTGATCATACGATCCAGTGCTTTCTGTACTATAGTATTGCAAGGTGCCATGTAGTTAAGCAATTACAGACGCTTTGATCATACGATCCAGTGCTTTCTGTACTATAGTATTGCAAGGTGCCATGTAGTTAAGCCATTATAACATTAGGCATGTGTAACAATACTTTGAATTTTATAGTAGGGGTAGTCGATGTATGGACAGTTTTATCATAAGCTAACCAACAGTAAGGGATTGTGTTTTATCTATGGTTTTATATTGTCTGTAAAGGATTTTATAAGAGCAAAATGAGTACACTCTCGTACACAATCTGAATCCAATTTATTTAAAAATTTATAGGATAAAATACAAATGTCATATTTAAATCGCAGATGATGGAAAATATCGAACCACTGAGATCTGTACACGATTACTATAAAGGGGTTTTCTAGTATTCGTGCATCTGTATAAAATAACCGTTATGACGAGAACAGCAATAATACTGCTAAATAGCTATTGCTGTAAGGTATCATACCACATTTCAAGGTTAAATTAATTGTGATCTGTTACTGCACCAGGCTGCATATTGCACGTAGACTCCCGCTTCTTCAATTACCACATTAGTATCATTATTAGTGAAGTGCATAAAACCGATGACAAGTTGTTGAGTCTGCTGGATTATTGTATGACAAATAAGTGAGATTTTACTTTAAATATTCTAAGGGCAGTTTGTTTTATATCTGTGTTTGTGCGTTTTATTCTGGGGGGTTACGAAACTACTATATCTACTAAACTGAAATGTGTCACAAAATTTGATTATGTACGCAGTCAATACATCGCATTACTAATGAATGACCGTTTTGGTAATTAACGAGTGTGGGTAATTTTCATTCAATGTTTTTTAAACAATGTTTTGTAATGGATGAGTTAATTGATCCATTATCTTGAGAAATACAAATATCATCAGAAACTATGTGGGTACACTATAACCAAAATGTAAATGGCAAGTTAACTGTCACGGTAATCTAATAGATAAAAAGTGGCCATTCACTTGAATCTATATTTTCACGATCCTCAAGTGGTCATGTTTCTTGTATATAGGGTTCCAGCTTTGAGAATCTATAAAGGGCTAATTTGGGGGAAATGAGGGGGTTTAGTGAGATTATAAAATGTTATATAATATGTGGCCATTGATGAGTGCAATGATTTGCGTGCGATAAATTGTATTTTTCAACATTTTATATGAACATAATACATCAGGTTGTATCGTTAGGGAGTTCAGGAGAATACGGGTGATATTTTAAAACTATCCTATATATGGTAGCTTAATATGCTGTATCTCCATGTCAGATTAAATTGGAAACTCAAGCTAAAACGTTAATTTACTGATGCCCCTATCCTAAAGTTAGCTGTACTCGATTGAACAATATAGTATATTGGTTTATAAATAAGCTTTAACAATTAAATACAATATATATGGTTAACAATTAACAGTGATTTGAGTTTTGATAAACCAAATAATGATCCATGCATAATAAGTCAAGTTTAATTAATTTTTTGACATTGATCCAAACAGTGTGAGTTAAGTACTTGGCTGTTAGTACAAGTATTAGTTGACAATGTACTAGGAAAACGCTAGCCAATAAAGTAATTATCATTCATAGAGGATTTTTTTCTCAGAAAACCTACACAAGTACCCACACATGTCATTCGTTCATCATTAATATTAATTCCTCTATTATTTTGTGTGTTTTCTCCTATAATGTTTGTTGATGCCCCTAATAATGTGACATCAGTTATTTAAAATGTTTCTCCTTGATAATATGTATTATTTCAACCAATTTTGTTCTATGTTATATACTATCCCAACACCCCACAGACACACTTATAACAAATAATATATCCTTGTAAGAAAATTGCAATATAATAAAATCTTAAATATAGTATTATTTTTCGAGATTAATCCAAAGAAAATCAAAACTTCTGTGGCAAGTGTTATTTATGTGAATTCACCAGCTGTACCATTCAACAATGTACATGTGACTTCCAGAGCTTTAACTATTGCCTCTCCCCAGATCCTGCCAGGTCTTTACAATGTTAACATCACTGTATAGGACATTTTGCCTAAGTCAATTTCATTCCAAAGTGTGGTCTAAGTTTTAAATTGCTTGGTTCCAAAATAAACCAGACCCTATTATTTTTTATTGCATGTAGTACAAAGGTGATGACAGAGACTCTAAATTGGTAACTATAATCCATTTTGTTATAACTAAGGAGAAAGTTTCAATTGGACATTAATTAACTCACTGGGGGATACAAATGTTTGAGCACTTCTAGAGGTGATAGGGAGTTGAAATTTGGCACGCACGTAGGTCTTGGGCCCAAACCCCAGGAAAATTATGAAAAGTGACATTTTAAAATTTTAACCCCCCCGAAATCTCGAATTTCTCCCCCATGTTATTCTTAAGGGGAATAGCATTGAAAGTGGTCGACTATGGTGTGCTCATTTGAACCGTTTAGTAACGTGCTAGAGACTTGAAAGTTTGGTAGTATCGTAGTATGGGATCTAAAATTAGCGGTGAATTTTGCAAAAGCCCCATTTTCAAATTTTAACCCGCCCAAAAATCCAAAATGGCGGACATCTAAAAACGACAAAACACGTTTTTTCAAACGCCTATAGATAAAAAACGGTAAGAGCTAGAAAAGATATGAAAGAATTTTCATGGTCAGGAATTAAATTTTCTACAAAAAACTGTTGGGCGTTTTTTTTTCTCGAAAATCGCACTCCTTTAGCTTCAAAAAACGCCCTACTTTCAAAATTTGGTAAATTTCTTTCAAATTTTTAACGGTTTTCGCTACTTTTTCCAACCTAAGTTAATTATTTTTGCAAATATTATCAATGTTTTGTATTTAATCTGGTTTACTTTAAATTTGATTTATTTACAATTTTTTCATAACTTTACTCCTTGACTCTTAGCTTTAGTGTCAAAATTTGAAAGATTTTACGCCCCTCATGTTATTCTTATGGGGAATAACATTGAAAGTGGCCGACTTTGGAGTGCTCATTTGAACCGCTTAGAAACGTGCAAGATACGTGAAATTTTTTAGTATTGTAGTGTATTAATTAAGTAAGTAAGTATTAATTAATTAAGTAAGTTAGTAATATTATGTAAGTATTAAATTAACGGTGACATTTGCAAAAGCCCCATTTTCAAATTTCAACCCCAGCAAAAATCCAAAATTGCGGACACCTAAAAACGACTAAACAAGTCTGTCTGAAAGGGCTATAAATAAAAAACGGTAAGAGCACGAACAGATTTGAAAGAAAATCGTAAGTTAGGAATTAAATTTTCTACAAAACCGTGTTAACCGTTTTCCGAAAATCACACCTCTTTAACCCTAAAGATCGCCTTACTTACGGTACAAAAATTGGTATTTTTTTCAAATTTCTTGTGGTTTTCACTACTTTTTCCAACCTAAGTAAATTATTTTTGCAAATACTATTACTGCTTTGTATTTACTCTGGTTTACTTTAAATTTTAATAATTTTATGTTATTTCGTTACTTTACTCTTTGACCCCCAAAACTTAAGATTAATTTCAAAATTTGAAGGTGTTTACCACTTTTGCGATTGTCATGTCATTCTTATGGAGAATAGCATTGTAATTTAATGGCTTTGGTACTTATATTAATT